GTCTTCTTGCAGTTCTTCTAGGGGAGGGGAGAGAGGGGGGTACCAAACTATTTCCTGTTACACCATTCATGGACTGTGTTGAGTTTAGGGAAGATCTGCCATGATGTAATAAATTGGTGGGTGGGCTGAGGAGCCTGTTCTTATCTAGGAAAGGTAACAGATGGAAAATGTGAGTGTTAACTTTGCTGCTCCTTTAGACTGCCCTGAGTGGGGGTGAGGGGGGGGGGATACCTGCAGTAGCTTCAGGTGTAGCTCTAATGCACCCTGAAGTGAGAAGTACAGAACAGGAGCTACCAGGTGAACTGTTGTACCTTTATCTGTCCGTCCCGTTGCTCAGACTTGCCCTGCTTGCATTTTCATGCTTATTAAAGAGGTTGCTTTATTTCCACAGCCTAGTTGTATTGATTTGAAACTGCTCGCTCAGCTGAAAAACCCAACTCTGTGCGCAGTTCATGTTAATTGATCATCTGTCCACTTGTACCCTGGATGGGGAAGAGTTAATTGGTTGCCGGGCTTCACTGTAAGTGTAATCAGACACTCTGCCCGTAAATTTACCGAATGCCCAGGATTCCTGGAGTAACCGCTTCCCCTCAATTCCCCGGAGAGATTCCTCTCTGCTCCCTGATGTTTCTTCCTGAAACCAGGAGATTTAATCTCCCGGTAAGAATGTTGACAGTGTTTGAGTTCATTTCAGTTACACTGAATTTTAACTGCTCATGTAGTGAGGGGCGAAGAAGTCAGGTCCACACCACAGTACAGTGTAAGCTCAGCAAATATTATCAATAAAGCTTTACATCTATTGTACACATTTTTATACATATATATATATACTTAAATATGGCAAGACTCTCATCGCGTCTCGAGTTACACTTGACTACAGCCTGTGTGATAGGAATACTGCCCTAGCAACTGGCAAGGCAGCTTGCTTCACTTAAGCTCATGGCAGACAAACAGGCTGGTTTGACCTTCACTTCCCCTTGGTAGCCAGTTTCCACACGGCACTCAGCCCTCAGCCGCCGGCATGAAAACAACTGCCATTAAACAATCTGCACTAATTATGCAGAATGATCCCAGGATTAAACGTTAACAGCCTTTTTTTTCTTAAAACAAAAAAAAAAGGCAGTGTTCTGGCGAAACAATTTTAAATAATTGAGTAAAGTCCAGACTGTGGTCGGTGCGGCGTGGTGTGAGAGCGGCTGTTGTATTGGGGGGGGTGGGGGTGCACCCGGGAGGCTGTTCGGAGGGTTGGGAGGCCGGGGTATTGTGCTGCACTCGTTCGCTCACTGGCTCGCCTTGCCTCTTGCTTCGGCCGGCAGCCATTTCTTAAAGGACTTGCAGCGAGTCCTACGCAGTGCTGCTGGGTTGCTGTGCTTGTGATTGTGTTGGCTGCATTTCAATATTGACGAGCGCACTGATGGCAGGAGCTGTGTCTCGACTCATCTCACAGGAGGAATGATTTGTGTCATTCTCACAGGGACAGCCATGGACAACTCCGTGCCATTGTGCCAGGCTTATTAATAACTTTTTTTAAACTATTAACTTTTTTTTTAAAGTTGAAAATGCCTCTGTTTAGGGGAAGGGTGTTTTTTTTGTTTGCATGTGGTGTGAGAGACAGCTCAGCCTAACCTTGGCAGAGAGACAGAATCAGCTCTAAGGGAGGCTTTGGCAGCCATGTTTCAACGCAACTTGAATCAGAGGAGCCCAGCAGAGGAGGAAAGGAACCTTAGTTCAGCGTTGTTGTCTGGAAAGGGCAAGAGCTCAGTGTGCTAGATGTTCAGCATTAATGAGCATCTCCTGTGTCTTAACCCAGCCACGCTATGGGAATGTATTCTGCTGATTCCTCCTTTATATATCAGCATTATTTTGGAAGACAAGATGGCGAAAACCACATCCCGTTCGTCGTAGCCTCTCGAAGACTCGTCTCCTTTACTGTTCGGCATGTGAACTCACAGCTGTAATGTAGTCTCCACTGTGGTTGTTGGTGCTGGCAGCATTTTCCTCTGGGTAGGCACACTGCGCGACTTCACGTAGTGTACTGTTTGTGTCAGAGGCTGGAGTTAAGAGTAAAACTTTTAAAGCTGCTTAAACTTTAAAATGGAGCAAATCTTTCCGTTTGTTTGCCTTCTCTTGGTACCTGATTCCCGTGCTCCAGTTGCTGTGTGACACAGTGTCGGGGATCTGGCAGAGTCCTTTGTACATTGCCATTTGTCTCGAGTTAGAAGGGCAAGATGCTGCGTGAAGGTGTGAGAAATCGCTATCTCTGCCCCCGCAGTGTGCGTTTAATGGGCAGCAGATGGGTTAGACTTGGGTTGCTGGCTCGTACTTTGCTGTGCAGAAAGGGGAGTGGGGAGAGAGAAAGCAACAGGTTTTAACAAAATATCTGTAAATCCGCTTATTTAGAAACTTAAAAACGTGAGAGTAGGAGTGACACAGAACTCCCGGTAACAATGATTTCCTCCCGTTGGTAACTTTACACCCTGTAAACGTTCTGTTCACACCTTTGTGGTTAGTCCTCCCATCTCTTTCCCCCCGTTTTCCCTCAGCCTTCGCAGCTGTTCGTGCTCTTCACCTGATCGGGTACTGTTCTAGCAACCAGTCCCCTCTGGTTTCTTGTCCAACTGACACCGATTCTCGGCCTCAGCGGGTTGTTTGAGCGAAAGCATGACAGCCAATTCTGTTCTTTCCCAATGTCAGTGCGTTTGTCGCTGGAGCGGGTATGTAGACATTGTATAGAATGATGTTTCATTCATTGATCGGTGTCTGCGTGCTACACACCTGGCTGACAAAACACCAGGGAGACTGAAGCAAAATGTACAACAACTTGAATTTAAATAGCGCCACTCACGCAGGGTAGCTTAACAGTGGCGGAGCACGATGCCGAGCGGGGTGGGAGGATTGACCGTGGGCACGGTCGAAGAGGAAGATCTTCAGGAGCGACCTGAAGATGAGGAAGGAAGGGGCAAGGTGGAGGGATAGAGGAAGAGTGTTCCAGGCTTTCTGGACGTAGTGGCTGAAAGTGCGGCCACTGATGGTGGAATGGAGGGCACGAGGGACATGCACTTGATTTTCTGGTCTATATGTTTCAGCTTCAGGTCGCTGGCTCCCCAGCAGAAGGCTTGTGTAATTCTTTTCTAACCTGGACACCAATTGTCCACCTTACAAAGCGTGTTGCTGGTTGCATTCGTCCACTGACCTGAACTTCCAAGTTATGTGCATGTTTAGAGTGCACACCAGCACCCCGTTCAGCAAGAGAATAAATCCCTGCATTAGGCAGAACGTCAGTGTGCCTGGGACAGACTAACTGCGTGGAAGCCATTGCTGTCACTCAGTGGATGCAGTCCTTGTACACTGACGGCTAGGTAAGTGACAAATGGCTTTGGGTAACTGATGATTGTAACCAGAGCTTACTGATACCCAACCAGGAGGAGTGGCTGGGCTGAATGCCACAAATCGGGTTTCAGCCTGCGTCTTACGCACTGGAAAGAAAATCTAATGGCAGTTTTCGCCCCTTGAGGCAGTGCTGCTGAGTGCTGGGGATTGAGTATCATCATGCTGGCTGCCAGCCAATACCTCACCCAAATGCCCATTCTTTAAGTGCAAGACTAGACTCACTAGAAGATTCAACCATGGCACGACATCAGAGCCAAGTCAAGTGATTCCACATGCAGTTTCCAGCCGTCTTGCCATGGGTATAAATGCTTCGAGAGCCCTTTAAAAGCACTGGGAAGCTCCAGTGCCATGCAAAACATTCACCAGGAACTCAAGAGTACCATAAAATCCTCAAATACTGGTTGGAGTGAGAATGTCTGTGTTCAAAAACCAAACTTGTTATCAAAAATGCACGGGTTATTGTTGGGCAAGAAGTACTTGGTCCTATATAAAAAAAAGTTATTGGTGCATTTCAGGATTAAAGGTAAAATGGATTCTCATGAATTTCCTCACTCTTTGAAGTTCTAAATGGAGGTTTCTATACTCTTGCTGGTGCTCAGTCAGCTGTGTAAAGCGCTCTTGAGATGTCGTCCTGATGCAAAGGGTTTTAATATATATGTAAATTGATACAATCCTGCCCAAAAAACTCTTTTTGACCGCACACACTTACCATTACTGTCACTTCCCCCTTCTCCCTTGCTGGACGTCCAAACCAGTCTCTGTGAAGCGCTCCTAATGCATTATCTTGTGTGAAATGCGGTGTATACAGTACATACAAGTTGTTGTTGCACGTCCCCGCCTCGCCCGCTCCACCATTGGCGGGCAGGCCTTCTGCCACTCTGCCCCCACCCTCTGGAACTCCGTCCCGCAGTCCCTCTGCCTCACCCCCTCTCCCTTGCCTCTTTCAAGACCCATCTCAAGACTATTCAACCATTCCTTCAATCACCCTCCCCGATCCTAACCCCTACCTCGGGTCCGAAGCACTGATTGTCACGTCCTCCCGATGTGAAAGGCGCTATACAAAGGTTTTGTTGTGTGGAGACTTCGATATGTTCACTTGTTCCCTGCTCTCGTGTCCTGGGTTGTCGTGGGTTACACTTGTTCTGCGGTCTTGTCACACAGAGTCTGTCTGGTTTTCACTGGCTGAAAAAATGCGTCAATGAGATCCTGATTTTAGAAACCCATGCACCCACTTCCAGAATAGTGAACACAGGAAGAACTGGGAAAGGACAATGATTAGTCTTAAACTTAGAAAGTTACAACAGGTGGAAGTAGTCAAAGTTACGATTAGGATAAGGAAGGTGCAAAATGGAAAATAAGTCAGTCTTCAATTTCTAATGAAATTGTCTGCTTTGTTGCCTACATTTGGGTCAGTCCTATTACAAGCCGGGTCTCTAATAGATAAATTCTAGTTTTTCAACTTCACTTTGCCTCTAAGACTGGGATCTTGTAGACCTGACAGCAGGCTGAGGATTAATAGTGATGTTTAGTAAATATTAATGACAGTGTATTAAAAAGCAGCTCATTGAAATGTGGACAGAATGTAACGTTCATGTTCTTTTCTGTTTCAGATTTAAACCACAGTGGGTTGGGGTCGCATTATGAAAATTGTGACTGGGCACCTGTCTCCGCTACCAGTGACTCCACTACAAATTGGGATAAAGTTATTGTAGATAGGTCTGATAAGGAAGCCTGGCCTTCCATCACTGGCAGCGACCCTGAGTTGGCTTCAGAATGCATGGACGTTGACTCTGCCTCAAGCTCTGGCTCGGAAAAGAACCTTAATATCATGGCTTCAGGGAGCACAGTTGGTGATGGCGATGGCAACAGAACAGCCAACGGAAATGGATCATCCAACCAGTTTGTGGTTGGAAACGTCAGCAATAATGTAGGAAACGGAAGTATTAATGGGTCTTGGGGTGGATCCCGTGGCCCTTCATCAAGCACATGCCAGGCTTTTGCAGAAAACCTAGATGGCAAACTGGAAAATGGCCGTGGTAAACTGAATGCTTGGGGCAGCTTGGGCTCCACAGCTAGTGGGTCCCTGAATCCAAATGCCAACTTGGGTGCCTGGCCGGTGTTGGAAAACGAAGTAAACCCTGTGCAAGGACCTGTGGCAGGTTGCAATTCAGGCACCAATATACAACGTAGCACTGTAGGTCAAATGCTGAATAACGCGAGTGTTAACTTGGGACTATCTTCCCATGCCTCCTGGGGAGCAGTGCAGGAGAATTCTGATGCAGAAGTTAATGGTACAAGGAAGGTTTCATTCAGTGGACAACCTCAAAACCTTAACACTGAAATGAATGGACCAAATAACACTACTAACCCTTTGACCTCTAGCTTACCAAACTCTACTAGTTCAATGCAGACAAGTGAACTGCCTAAAATGGCGGGGCCTGGAGCCTGGGGTGCACCCTTGGGAATGAGCACAGTAAATGCATCTCAGCTTCAGGCCTCTTCAGCTACGAATGGCACTTCCGTTTCTCAGCTTGGCAATGGCGGAATCAGTGAGGGAATGAACAGTGGGACTTATGATGCGACTTGGGGCACATCTGGCACTAACTACGCTGGAGATAAATGCCTGAGCAGTAACATGGGGCAAGCTAGTGGCGACACTGTGAATGCAACTCCAGCACAATCTTCTATTAATGGATCGGGGAGTACCGCTTACAAAAGTAATGGGGGAAGCAATAGAGGAGGGGTCACCTGGGAATCCGGTGTGGTCAACTCCCACAATCTAGCATGGGGAGCAGGGAACAGTATGGGCTCTGGAGGGACTCGAAGAGTCTGGGGTGGAAACCTAGCAACTAATGTAAACACTGGCACTAATGTCTCAAACGGGGAATGGAACAAACTGCCTAACAATCATTCCAATAATGGTCTAAATGGAAATGGTAATAGGAAGGGATCAAATGGATGGAAAAGTCTAGATGATACTCTTTGTGGTCAGAACTCTAGTACATCACAGTTGAACGAACAGAACAATATATGGGCCAAAGGTACTGCCGATAGTGAAGGGAGCACAGAGAGTACTGGGAGTCGCCACGACCGGGCGAGCGTAGGCAGTGGGGATGCCAACAGCACGGGAGGCAGGCGTGGTGAGAAAAGGAAACCTGACCAACCAGGGTCAGCCCAAAGTATTCTGAGTAGAACTGACTTGGACCCACGGGTCCTTTGCAACACAGGTTGGGGTCAGACTCCAATCAGACAGAACACTGCCTGGGACACTGAACCATCACCCAAGAGTGATCGTAAGACTGACATTGGAACAGAGGCCTGGGGGGGTCACGTTTCCCAGACTTCAAACTCAGGTGGGTGGGGGGATGGACCTGGCCCAAACAGTAATGATACCTCATCAGTATCTGGGTGGGCGGACCCAAAGCCTACTAAAGTCTCTTGTAACACAGGCTGGGGAGACACCAAAGGCTCGAGCAGTCAAGGGGGGTGTGAAGATAATTCTGCTGCTACAGGAATGGTCAAGAGCAATCAAACGTGGGGAGGGAATAAGGAGGAGAAGGTCAAACAGGGATGGACTGACGGACAGAAATCTAACCAAGGTTGGAGCATGTCTGGAGGTGATGGATGGGGAGAGAATTCAAGAACTAGCCACTGGGGGGAGCCACAGAAGGCGAACTCGGGTGCCTGGGAAAGGGATAGGGATAGTGATGGTGATAGGTCTGTGGCTGGCTGGAGTGAGCCTGTCAGGCCAGGTTCTGGCTCGTGCACGTGGGCAGGTAGCAACAATTCAAACCCCAATCATACAAATGGCTGGAGAGAGGCAGCCAAACCCACTCCATCCCCGGGGTGGGGGGAACCGGGTAAACCCACTCCATCCCCAGGGTGGGGGGAGCCGGGTAAACCCACTCCATCTCCAGGGTGGGGGGAACCGGGTAAACCCACTCCATCCCCAGGGTGGGGGGAGCCGGGTAAACCTACTCCGTCCCTGGGGTGGGGGGAGTCAGTCAAACCCACTCCATCCCCAGGGTGGGGGGAGCAGAGCAAACCCACTCAGTCCCCAGGATGGGGGGAGCCTGGCAAACCCTCTCCGTCCCCAGGGTGGGGGGAGCCGGGCAAGCCCTCTCCATCTCCAGGGTGGGGGGAGCCGGGCAAACCCACTCAGTCCCCAGGGTGGGGGGAGCCGAGCAAACACACTCAGTCCCCAGGGTGGGGGGAGGCAGCCAAACCTACTCAATCCCCAGGGTGGGGGGAACCGGGTAAACCCACTCCATCCCCAGGGTGGGGGGAGCCGGGTAAACCCACTCCATCTCCAGGGTGGGGGGAGTCAGGCAAACCCACTCCGTCCCCAGGGTGGGGGGAGCCAGCTAAGCCAAACAACTCTCCGGATTGGAACAAGCAACATAACAGCAATGGTTCTTGGGGACCAGGTTCCACCACAGCTAAACCCGCTCCCGGCTGGCACAGCGGCCCGGCCCCAGCAAAGGAAGACGAGCCCACAGGCTGGGAGGAACCTTCTCCAGAGTCTATCCGTCGCAAAATAGAGATTGACGATGGGACTTCGGCTTGGGGAGACCCAAACAAGTACAACTACAGGGGTGTGAACATGTGGAACAAAAACGTGCAGAGCAGCAGCAACGCTTCAGACCAAGCGGCGCAGGCACAACCACTGCAGCAGCCACCACCACCACCAGTGCAGCAGTTGCCACCACAGCAGATGCCAGCGCCGAGTACCATGCCAAGCAAGGAGAACGGTGGCAGTGGTGAGTTTTATTACCTATGGCCGGGTGGTTCACGTGGCATTTGACAGTGGGGAGGAAGGGGGCAAGGTGGAGGGATTGAGGGAGAGAGTTCCAGAATTTTAGGGGGTAGTGGCTGAAGGCATGGCTACCGATGGTGGAGGGGACGAAGGACAAACAGGAGGTCGGAGCCAGCCCAGCAGAGGCAGCAGGTGTTCAGTAATTGGGAGCCAGTGGAGCCTGGAAAGGTTTGGGATGATGGGGGGACGGAGTTTTCTTCGGATGAGAATCCGGGTGACAGAGTTGTTAATTAGTTGAACATTGTGTATGATGGAGCTGGGGAGACCAGCGAGGAGGGTATTGGAAAAGTCCAGCCGGGAAGTGACAAAGGCGAGGACGAGCTTTTCAGCAGCTTTTGTTGTGAGGTATGGATGGAGGAGGGCAATGTGGTGGAGGTGGGAGGATGCCAGTCCTGGTCAGGGAATAGATGTGGGGTAGAAAGAAAAGCTGGGGATGGAACCTGACGCCAACGTTGGCACTAGTTCAGAGAGTCTGAGGGACAGGCTGGGGAGTTTGAGGAGTTCAGACCCGCAGGAGAGAAGACGTTGATGGGAGCCAACGAGTATGAGCTTCCATCTTGCCGACATTCAACTGCAGGAAATTTGCGCTCATTCAGGTCTTGATGTACGTTAAACAAGCTGACAGGACATCAGTGAACTTGGAGTCACATCTGGAGGAAGAGAATAGATCTGGGTGTCATCCACATACATGTGGAAGTTGCTTCCGTGTCTGGGGATGACATCCCCAATGATGGAGCCTTGGGGTTCCCTGCAGGTGACCAGGCGGGGGAGAAACCATTTGTGGAGATTTACTGTTGCCGGTTAGTTAAGTAGGATTCAAGCGCTGCAATAGTATTATTATTACTTATGTAGCCCGCGGACATTTCTCAAATAGGGCTTCCGGCCTGCGACAGCCGAAAGGTTGGATCACCCTGACCGAACACGTGTGGGCTTTTAGCAGTTTAAAGAAACTCAAATGACCAGTCTGATCTCACTTTCTAGTGCTGCTGGAGAAATATTTCTAACTTTCTAACCCTCTAGAGATGACCAGAACCTGCTAAGTGTTCAGACAGTTCGCTCTGTGCATTTGTAGATGTTTGTGCTCAGAGTTTGAGACTCACTCCCAAGGTGCTTGCTGTTCACTGATGCTTGTATTATTAAAGGATGTTTATTCTGGGGCTCATGGGAGGGGACGCCTGTCCGGAAATGTCCACTGTGACTGACCTTCAGCTTGCATGTGACCTGAAGCCAATGGTGAAAGTTTGACAGTTTGAAAAATGTTTGTTGTGTTAACTACTGGACTGTCAACCAAGGAAAGTCAGTCACCTTTAGTTGTAGACAAGACAGAGACAGATGAATGTCAATGCTCCCAATGCACTGTTTGGCCAAAGCTCTGAATGTTACAGTCTGTGTATGGTTAGGTAGTTGAGGGTGAAGGCTATTCACTATCCGAGCAGGAGTTTCACAAGGGGAACTGGGGAAAGCCAGCAAGGCAATGCTTTGAACACTCAGCAGGTCAGGCAGAATCTATGGTGAGAGGAAAGTGAGTTAACGTTCAGCTCGGTGACCTTTTGGTCAATGTTGCAACGGTGCATTTTGTTTGCTCTGTAAAACCTACAAATAAATAGATGGTAAAAATAGACGTGCGTGGATGAGATAGAGCTTACCTTAGAGGAAATTGAGGGAGATCTGATGCTGATTGTGCCTTGGTTAAAAAGTACTTTTGGATTCCTGTAGCATAGTGGTTAGAGCACTCACCTTGCAAGTGAGAAGAGCCGAGTTAGATTCCCGGGCAGGTTGGGCAAGTTTCCTTACTCCACACGCCTCTGTTTACCTAGCAGTAAGTAGGAATCTGGTTGTTAGTTGATTGGCAGATTGCTTTTCTGGGGGTAATAATCCCTTCAAAAAAAAATTCTTTAAAAAAGCAATAATAATGTGGTCACTAATCCATGACTGTTTGTGGGACACTGCTGTGTGCAATTGTTGCCACGTTCCGCCCACAAAATATACAGTCAATTTAGGCACTTTATAGTATATTCTGTGAAGCTTTCGAGACGTCTCAAAGACGTGACGAGGCACTATGTCAAATGCAAGGATTCTTATTACTGTTATCAGCACCGATCATTCCTTCCCTCAGTTTCTGGTTCCTATCGCGGGGCTGCCCAGCGCAGGATTCCGGTTACTGTTCCCATTCATTTATACATCAGATAAACCTGACTGACGGTGCCTGGGTGTTCTTGCAACCTTTGGGCAATAACAAGACATTGAGCAGCGAAAAATCCTGTGAAGTGCTTTAAGACATCTTGCAAAGATGTGATGAGGCTCCATGTCAAATGCAAGGATTGTTATTACAATGAGTAGGAATAGACTACAACAACAACAAGATTACATTTGTATAGTGCCTTTCACGTCCGGAGGATGTCCCAAGGCGTACAGCATTTCAGACCCAAGCTGGGGTTGGGGGGCGGGGGGGGAGAGAAGGGAGGGGAAGGGGGTGACCAATGGCATGGTCAAAGAGGAGGGTTTTGAGGCGGGACTTGAATGAGGCTAAGGAGGAGGCGAGGAGGAGTGATTGGGGGATGGAATTCCAGAGGTTGGGGGCAGAGTGGCTGAAGGCTCTCCTGCCAATGGTGGGGCGGGTGGGTTGGGGACGTGGAGCAGCCAGAGCCGGCTGAGCGGAGGTTGGTAGGTTGGTAGGGGGTTAGGAGGTCACAGAGGCGGGATGGGGCGAGACCATGGGGGGCTTTGTAAGTGAGGATCAGAGTCTTGAACTGGATCCTCTGAAGGACAGGGAGCCAGTGGAGTCGGGGGAGATGGGGTGACGGAGTTTGGTGCGGGAGAGGACACGGGCTGCAGAGTTCTGGATTATCTGCAGCCTGTGGAGAGAGAACGAGTGCCTTGTACAAAGCTATTATTCAGGCAACACACTAAATGGCGTCATTGTGTGTCGCTGCCAAATGTTGCCGTTGTGACAAGGCTGAAGTCTTGGTACCAGTTCATTTTGCAAAGGAGCTTAATGCTTAGGTGATGATTAATATTTTAAGGGCTCTCTTGGAATTGATGAAAATTGGTAACTGATGTGCTGCGGAGACCGAGGGCATTGGTTTGCTTCATTGATTGGAATAGCAGAGTCCCAGTGTGGGTGGCTTGAGAGTAGAGAGGTCAGTTTTGCTCTACCCGTGGGACAGTGGATGCCCGTGGCTTTGCTGGTACTTGCACCGGGTTCCGAGATGCTGGAGTTCCAAGGTGCAGGAGAAATGATCCAAGAAATTATCTGAAGAGAAAGAAAGGTTTTCCAGAAGAATATGTCTGTAAAAGGTAATTGATCGTTTTCCACAGCCTGGGGACAAAATAGTGGCTGCTGTTGAGTGGCTATGATAGTCCTGGGTGGAGAAATGGTTTGCTTTGTGATGAGCTAATCACGTCTGTTACTGTGGTCGTAACTGATCGTGTTCATACAGGAAGGACTTGGACAATAGTGGCACCAAGTGGCTGCTATAGAGATTGCACTCAATGCAACATTAAACGCAGGGAGGGGCATGTTGGAGAGGGGAAGGGGTTACATGGAGGGGGAACAGTGGGAGGGTCGAGACTGTGAATTGGTGGGGCTTGACACTGGAAGACTAGAACAAGGATAAAAGCAAGAAGGTATCCATCTGACTCTTCAATTCCTACCAAAGCCCCTTCTGTTCCCAGACTAAAGCACTCTGAGATGCCGTCTAGCGTGAAGAGCCCTATATAAATGCAAGTTATTTTTCTTGTTGACTGACCTTTCATCTACTGTTGGAGCTCTGGGATGTTACCCTGCATGAGCTGGGCACTATACGAATGCAAGTTGTTGTAGTTGTTATTGGTGCAATGCTCCAGTGCACAGCACAGTGTCGGAGGGGAGGGGGAAATGAAGCTGGAACCTCGATGAAGAGTAGATCCATTGTGGGGTTTGGGGGAAGCAACAGATGGAGTGTCACGTTTTAGTGAACAGGCCGTGGAAAATATTCTCTTTGTGGGTGACCTGCCTTTTCCCGCTTGTTGTGTTGAGTCGTGAGACATTTATGTCTAAAATACCGTCCATGATCCACTCACCACTCGGTCCATGAGTACCGAGTGTCTCGTCTTCAGAAGGATATCAACTGGGCTTTTTTTTGTTTTTCCTTTTATTTACTGAAGGTTGGGGAGAGTCTTACGGCGTTCAGACAAAGCCAGAGGCTTGGGGAGACTCGTCCGCACTAAGTGCGCCAATGGACAATGGAACCGCAGCCTGGGGACAGCCCATGGACACCGGATCATCCGGCTGGGGAGAGTCACTTAATGACCGTGCTGGTACCTCTGGTTGGGGCAACACTCCCGCTGCCCCACCAACTACAAACAGAGCGGGTAAACCTCCTCCCTCTTACTAAATTTAACACCGGTACAACTATTGGACTTTGGGCACAAGTCATTGTGGGCAGGGCCTCGGGGTTCAGTTTCCCCAAGGCCAGCACTGGTGTGACTTGCTATTAATCGAGACAAGCCATTGTGTTCAACATCAGTTGGCACTCTGGTTGTAAGTGCTACTTGTTAATCCTCACTCTGCTCATTGCATGCAGCCTTTCTTCATGAACACTTGCTGTAAACTCTATGCTGCCACATACATGACCTGAACAACTCTTTTGATTTCCCCCCTTGCTCCCGTTACCCTCTCTGATCCAGGGGTAAAGCAATTGGCCTGCACTCTGGCACTGGTGTCATTCCTCTCTGGAGGGAGAAACTGACTGCCCAACATCAACACCCACAAATTGAACTTGTTTCATCAATCTGATAGTAGGTGGCAGTCAGCACACACAGGCAGGCAATCTGTCCGTCTATACTGGGGTTTAATTGCAGCAAAACTGTTTTCTGTGTGCGTTGCATGCCATTAACCGATGTCCATGAAGTACTTATAGAGCCGTTGGTAGTTGTTCAGGCATCTGAGGTGAGTGACTTGGCTGAGGGCTGAGCTGCTGGGAAAGAAGCAAAGTCCAGATAGTGCAAGCCAACATTGATGCTGTCTAACATCAGCTCAGCTTGGCTTTAATGCTCTGTTCTTTCCAGGCCCCAAACCTATGCAAGATGGCTGGTGTGCCGAGGAGGCGTCTGTGCCAGGGACCCGGCACTCCAGCTGGGAGGAGGAGGAGGGAGATGTGATGTGGAACAACAATGGCTCACAGGACAACAACGCTACAAACTGGGCAGCAAAAAAGATGGCGCAAAAGGTAGGCCTCATGGGTCTTGGTGCCAACTTGATGAATTATGAACTGTATGTTTTCATCTTATGTCTGGAATGCACTGCCTGAAAGGGCGGTGGAAGCAGATTTGATAATACCTTTCAAAAGGGAATTGGATAGGTTCTTAAAAAGGAAAAATGTGCAGTTCTATGGGGTAAAAGCGGGGGAGAGGGGAATAGTTGGATAGCTCTTTCAAAGAGCCAACACAGGCACGGTGGGCCGAATGGCCTCCTCTGTGCTGTATGATTCTGTGATTCCGACATATTAACCGTGTTTTTGCAATGCACTTGTTCCACTACCATCACTGCCACATTAATTACGAGGATGTCCCAGCGCCTTGGGATGTCCTCCCGACGTGAAAGGTGCTGTGGAAATATAATTTGTTGTTGTCTCTGCCAGCGGGGCAGCAGTAATGCAGTGGGGGGATGTGTGCTCGGTGCCCCCTCACCTGCTGCTGATCTCTGAACTAGTTAATGTGTTGTGAGAGCAGAGGAAGCAGAAAGTGGATGTGTCTGAGTTAAGGCGGTTATGATAGTGTAGATCATGACCTGTGTGTAATGTGCAGGTTGTGTTCGTAATGTGTATGAGGTTTTAGCTGATGAAGTGTCTCTTTTTTTAAGCAGGGAACAATGAAGATGGGGAACAAAACAGAGGAAGTATGGATGAACCAATTAATGAAACAATTCTCAAACATTGGATTTGCTGTGAGTACAAAGGGATACCTGGAGCCTTCTTACTCTCTCTCTCTCCCACACACACAAACATACTGGACATTGCTGCAGTTTGAATCTTTTCCAGTTTGCTTCCAGATTAACAAAAGACAAATACTGCAGCTGCTGGAAATCTGAAATAAAAACAGAAAAGGCTGGGAACACTCAGCAGGTCAGGCAGCATCTGTGGAGAGAGAAAAGTGAATTAACGTTTCAAGTCGATGACCTTTCATCTCTGATCTGACGAAAGATCATCAACCTGAAACATTAACTCACTTTCCTCTCTCCATAGATACTGCCTGACCTGCTGAATATTCCCAGCCACTTCTGTTTTTGCTTCCAGATGAGCCAGATTCTAGTCGCGAGTTGGAGTGAAGGACTGAGTTGTATATAACTCTGATGACTGTTGCATCAAGTTCTGTATATAATGTGGGGTCAGGACGGACTCCAGGACACCGATAACACTTAAGACTTCTGGTGCTGATTAACTGGTCCCAGTGACTCCTGCCTTCAGTGCAGCACAGCGTCCTGGCGATGCTGAGCAGCCAACAGCCACTCTATACCGCTGAGGCTGATTTATGGGTTTACGGGCTGAATTCTATTCTGGGTTCAAACCTTACATCGTGGTTGAGGCTACGTCTAATAGCGGGGATTTGGATTTCATTGTGCTGTGGAAGCACACGTGTCTAGATATTTCCCGAGGCTTGTTATTGTTCCTCGATTATTTTTCTGTTAGTTTTATATTCTGAATGTTTTGTGTTATTGTTGCAGAGGGACCCTGTTGAAGAAGCAAAGAGCAATAAGATGGATCTTCCTGTGGGTAAGATGGCGTTGATAATAAATTCATCTTCCTTACTCTCGTTATCAGCTTTCAGACAAGTCAAACAAACGATGTGGGAAACAAATCCATGAGCTATCCCCCCTTTTTAGGTATGTTAAGAGACAAGAGACTGGAGCTGGACAAGCACGGACTAAATGTTGGCGAATATACTGGCATTATCGGGAAAGGGCCGGGTTCTCGCCCCCAGATTTCCAAAGAGTCTTCCATGGATCGCAATCCTTACTATGATAAGGTCAGTTTTGCTCATTGTACAGAGAGGAATTGCTTAGCTTCTGTGCGAGTTTGAGAGACTAAGCTTGTGTATGAGGAGGCACAATGTGAGATTGAAGGCTTGTGAGACACTTGTGAGATGAGCGCGCTGATCACTACGCTACAAGGATTCTACTATAATGAGATTCGGGGTGGGGAGGGGGGGGTACTATTATTGGCACTAATAATAATAACATTTGATATAGTGCCTTATCATGTCAAAACTTATAAGAGTTACTCTGGCAAATGAGGGGAAGAAGAGGGAAGGGGAGTAACATAACATGTAGGAGTAGGCTATTCGGCCCTTTGAGCCTGCTCCGCCATTCAATCATGGCTGATCTTCTAATCTAACTCCAGCTAAGAAGGGAGCGAGGGAGGGTGAGAGCAAGACTAGACCAGCTATCTGTAGAGCAGCCTGAAAATCACTTTGCTTCTATGTTTGTGAATGTGTTGTGCTATGATGTTTGCTGCTTGTTTTGTGTGCACTATGTGGTTTACATTCCTGGTTGCCACTGGGCTGTACACAATGCAGCTGTTTGTGTTGGCTGGTGAGTCTTGCCTATAACTGTGCCTGTCCTTGTCAGCTAGCTATTAACTAACCCCATGTTTTTTCTCTTGTTTCTGCCCTTGCCACCGCTGCCTCTGCTGTGGGCTCTGCTCTGCGTGTGTGCCTTTTCCAACCCTCTTGTGTCCCCACCACCGGTTCGTGTCTGGGTACTTGTTGAACTTACTACTGTCCAGCTGTCTTTGTCTCTGTCACATCAAGACGGCATGCTAGCTGAGGAGCCCCAAACCTTACCATACATGTCCACACCAAGCACGAAGCTGCTCCCCTCAAACAGTGCACTACCTAATCAGGCCATGGGCTCAATGGGGCTGGGCATGCAAACCGGGAACCCTGGCCGACAGGTAAGCCTGGCAATCACCACTCCACAGCCTCCTCGCAGGCTCCCACTGCAACTGTGTTCACTTACAGCAAATCCCAGCACAATTTCTTCTTTTCACCCCTTTTTAAAAAATCTTTTGTTTTTTCTTTGTTGTTTGCCCATGCACCCACACACCACACACGCATCGCACACACCAGACACACATCGCACCACACACATAAACACACACATCGCACCACACATACATACACACACACACACACACACACACATCCCTAACCTAACAAACATCTATCCACCTCACCCTTTGGGCAGCGTATGTGATCTGTGTGTTCCTCCCGTGTGTTGCTCTGTCTGCACATAGCCTGGTTGTGCTGAACTCTGTAGGCTGGTGGTCGCTGAGCCCAGCTAGCTGTGCCCACTAACTCTCTGCTTTCCTTTGCAGAATGGCAATCCGAACCTATATGGCGGCAGCAATGCAGCAGCACAAGCCAGGGGGATGCAACAGCCTCCAGCACAACCTCTTAACTCATCTCAGCCTAATCTCCGCACTCAAGTGCCTCCTCCATTATTATCCCCTCAGGTATTGGTGATTGGGCTGTGCCATGGGGTGGGGGGGGAGTGTTTGTGCTGTTACGTTTGGGATTTGTTTGCTGGATTTGATGGCGTTTTGGTGTGGGGGGCTTTGGGGGGTGGGGAGCAAGGGCAAGATGTAGGAGCTCTACCACCAGAGGGCAGCAACACCTCATTTTCCACAGCCATTTTCCCTACAAATAGGGAGTGGGAACAAGGATGACATTCAGCTCATCAGGCCTGCTCCTGCCACACCTTCCCCCCCACCCCTCACCCACCCCCACCACAGATAATCCAGCAAAACTCCCAATTAACCATGTTCACCTCTCTGCAGCCCGTGCTGTGCTCTCAGGCTTGTAATTTATCCTGGTTATTAATCTGCAAGGATTTGAGTAGACTGCCCATTTAATCCCACTGTCGTCGCTATCCCCATTACCCATTTACGTGTTCTTGTATCACAGCAGCAACAGGTTACATTTACACGGCGCCATTCACGTCGGGAGGACATGACAAGGCACTAGGCAGTCGGAGACTTGGACCCGAGCTGGGGGTTGGGATCAGGAGGGAGTGGAAGGCAGGGAAGGTGGGGGTAGGAGGTTGACCGAAAGTGTGGTCAAAGAGGAGGGTTTTGAGACATGCCCTGAAGGAGGCAAAGGAGGGAGCGAGGTGAAGGGACTGTGGGATGGAGTTCCAAAGGGTGGGGGCAGAGACTGAAGGCCTGACCTACATTGATAGGGTGGGGAAATGCCTATCTACTTCCCTCTTGAAACCCACAATGGATTATTAGCTCCTCGCCTGGTTTCTAACTCTGATCCTCTATCCCTTCTGACAGGTTCCAGCATCATTACTGAAGTACACAGCAGGCAACGGGGGCCTGAACCCTGCACTATTAAACTTTGCCCCCCAGCAGGTAGCCATGCTGAACCAGCTGTCACAGATCTCTCAGCTCCAGGTACGTCAGTCGCTACGCTGACTGCGAGCTCTGTGCCTCTCCGCAGCGGCTACAAGCGGCTTCATTTTTATTCTCTCTCTTTCCCCCAATGCCAGCGGCTGTTGCTGCAACAGCAAAAGGCTCAGAACGTACGGAACATGCCGGGCCCTCTCCGCCAGTCTCCAGAACAGGTACCAACTGCCCTCCTCCTTCAGGACCCACCTCAAGACGCTCCTCTTCGACCGTGCTTTCAATCTCCCTGCTTCCCCCCCACCCTTGCCCTCCCCCACCCTGATCCTCAGTTCGGATCCGTAACTCTGTCTGTCCAGCGCCTTGGGACATCCTCCCGACATGAAAGGCACTACATAAATGTAATTTTGTTGTTATTATTTGCTGGATCACTTCTCGCTATCTGGAGTCTTTGTAACTGTGGCTTAACATCTGCCCCGTGGCCTGGTTATAAACACTCAGGCACAGCGTGCGATGACGGTAGTTGGCAGGGTGTGCATTCCGTTCTTCAGTGCGTTGTCCTTGTAACCATTCCAACGCAGTGCTCTGGGGTGAGCTGTAATTGTCACAGGTGCCGACCTTCGGATGAGACCTTAAACATAGGGTCCCGTCTGCCTGTCCAGGTGGGCGTTAAAGATCCCATGGCACTATTTGAAAAGAGAAGGGAGTTTCTCTCCTGGTGTCCTGGCCAACAATCCCCCAAATAAAATTGGTCGCTCGCTCCATTGTGAGGCTGTTTGTGGATCACTGCCGTGCGCAAATTGGCTGCTGCATTTCGCCCACTAAATACACAGTCAATTCACTTTACAGTATATCTTGTGAAGCGCTTTGAGTCATCTGGAAGACATGATAAGGCGCGATACCAAATGCAAGGATTATTGTTGTATCCTGTGAAGCGCTTTGAGACTTCTCAACGACGTAAGGCGCAAGGATTATTCTTATGATGATATTCTCACTGTAAAAGACGGGAAAAATTGAGGGTTGTGGATGTGCTGTGATGTAATAACCCAGTGGAGTTGCCTCGCTGGTTCTGGCCGGCTCCTGTCACTGACATTGCTGTGTTATCTCACACGTTAAGGCGGCTCGTGTGTTCAACGTGCAACAGATGCTGCAACACCCGCGCCAGATGGACACCAGCCTCCTGATGAAGCAGCCACAGCCTCAGCCGATGCATCAGCCCTCGGTGAAGTCCTTCCTGGAGAACCTCATGCCCCCCACCCCTCCCGAGCTGCAGACAAAAGAGCCGCCTTCGCTGCCTTCCTACAGCAGCTACCCTTTAGGTGGGTTTCCCCGACCCAGGCCAGGCCAGCCCGAGGCTGCTCATGCCCCCCACATGCCCTTAGACTATTCCATGGCCAAAATGTTTCCTACCGACTGCAGCCCCGGCCTCCTTAGCCCGCCCCTGTGTAACCAAAACAGCCACCTGCCTGGCTCGCCCAGCCATCAGCGGTCGACGAGGAAGCCTGTCAATCAAGATAGCAGGTCTATGTCAAGAGGTGAATACACATCCGTTTGTCTAAGCTTTACTCTGCCAGTGCGCCCCGGGGAACCCGCAAGGTTGAGTCCAGTCGGGGCCGTGAGTCTCTCTCTCTCTCTCTCTCTCTCTTTCTCACTCTGATGTTACATAGCACGGTGCAACTGTGTTCGAAGCTCCTGCTCTGCTAAGGCCTTCAGGGTGGTGGCTGTGGCTCAGCGGCTTTCAGCACAGGCCGGTGTGTAAGTACTGTGCGTGGTTGTTGGTCTGTTTGCTGGCGGACGTGTGAAGAAGCCCAGGCCTTGAGCTGTACGCACTGAGTCTTGTAGCATAGTGGTTAAGGCGCTCGCCTCGCAAGCTAGAGGACCCGGGTTCAATTCCCGGCTGGGGCGAAACTTGTGTTTACCTGGCAGTAAGTAGGAAGCCAGTTGTTAGAGTGGATTGGCGGATCGCTTTCCAGGGGGTAATAAATAATCATTTGATGGGGGTTAAAAGAAAGACTGAAAGTCTGCCTTGGAACGCCAGAGTTCAGGTCTGCACTGCACCCGGCTGTGACAGTACTGAAGTCTAACCACTGTCATTCGTCTTCAGTAATAAGCCAGTCGCTGTCCGTGTTGCCTGCTGAAAGGGGGAGGGGACTCCCTGCTGGGTCCTGCTTTGTGCTACTTCTAACGAAGCTGCTTTCTGTTCTCAGGCTTGAATCCCAACTTGAATGTAAACAGCCTGGATTTCGGCAGTATTGTTAACCTGAAAGAGCCACAATCACAACAGTCCCGACTGAAACAGTGGACTGCCTTGGAGACCCTTCCTGTTAATACGTCTCTAGATCAAAACTCCAGCAAACATGGTAAGAACCCCAGCTCGATACAGATTCTTTAAATAATATTAATATAGTTCATTAATATTACCATTATTATTGGTGGTATTGATAACCCCAGCTCGGGTGCAAATCCTCGACTGTCCAGTGCCTTGGGACGTCCTCCTGATGTGAAAGCGCTGTGTAAATATCATTTGCTGCTGTTCTAAAATGACCTTGACATTTCCAATGTAACGCCACCAACACTGCATGTGATCATTGAACAACCTGTACAGATTTCCTGGGAGCACAGCAGGCTTGGAACCTGGTAGAAATTTGCACAAACGTTTTGAAGTGTAATTAATTTCCGTTTCTGCAATGTTTAATATAACTCTCACTCGCTCGCTCTGTCACACACCCCCGCACACACACGCACTTACTCTTATCACCCTCCCCTCACACCACATACACTCTCTTGTCTAACACTAAATATTACAGTCAATTCACTTTACGGTATATTCTGTGAAGTGCTTTTGAGACGTCTCGAAGATGTGATAATGTGCTGTGTCGAACGCAAGGATTATTATGATTTATTATTATAGCAGTTTTGATTTTCCATCTCCAGGTGCTACTTCAAGTGGTCTTAGTATTTGTTCGTCGGGCAAGTTGCTTGAAGAATCTCCTTTTGGTCACTTTGACTTCTCCGGTAACTCCTTGGTCAGCCCTCCGGGATCCATTGGAGATGGCTGGCCCAGTGCCAAATCGCCCAATGATAAGCTCTCTAGCAATGTTAATTGGCCACCAGGTAAGGTTATTCAGCTAATACTGCAAAACACCACAGATGCTGGCAATCTGACATTAAAAACAAAGGTCAGTGGGAACACGCAGCAGGTCAGGCAGCATCTATGGAGAGAGGAAAATGAGTTAAGGTTTCAGGTCGATGACCTTTCGTTAACTCATTTTCCTCTCTCCATAGATGATGCCTGGTCAGCGTTCTCAGTGACTTCTATTTTTATTTCAGGTTATTTAGCTGCTGTGTCTGTCTGTCTGTCCTAATCCTTCGTCAAACGTTTATTCCAATTTCTGTTGTTTTCTCAGCCTTGATAGTAAGTACAACAATTCGTACAACAATCAATTGTACTTTCAATTTGATTTTTCTTGCAAAATTCGTAAATAAATCATTATAATTTGGTCACTCAATCCACAACCGTCTGTGGGACGGACACTGCTGTGTGCAATTGACTGCCGCGTTTTCACCCACAAAATATAGTCAATTCGCTTTACAGTGTATTCTGTGAAGCGCTTTGAGATGGTCTTGAAGACATGATAAGGTGCTGTATCAAATGCAAGGATTATGTAGATTACCTATTATTAATATAGTTTACCGACCCATTTGCCAGAGGAAAGAGCTTCTCCCTATTTACTCTTATCAAAACCCCTCATAATTTGAACATATCTATTAAATCTCCCCTCGCTGTTCTCTGCTCTAACAAGAATAATCTCAGCCTTTCTAGTCTCTCTACATAGTTGAAGTCCCTCATCCCTTGTACTTGCCATTTGAATTTTTTTTTTGCAGTTCAGCTCAGGAACCTTGTATGTTATTGTCAGTTAGAAACTGATGTGAGCCGTGTGGATGAGAGACTTGTTGGTTCAGGGTCAAGCGCTCCTGTCAGCTTGTCTGTACACAGCCGGCTGCTGTGTGTGTGAGTGGGAAGCCTACTGGCAGGCTGGCCTTTGCTGTTCTATATCCATCACTTGTTCTCTCCTAGCTTCACCGCTTTTGTGTGTGTGTTTTTTCCTGCTAGAATTTCGTCCTGGTGAACCTTGGAAAGGTTATCAAAACATTGACCCTGAAACTGACCCTTACGTCACTCCCGGCAGTGTGATGACTGGCCTGTCCATCTCCACCGCCAGGGATCTCGACCTCCTCAGGGACAGGAACAACGGTAGGTGCTATCTCTGGTGGCTCTTTCTGCTTGTGTGTGTGTGTGTGTGAGTGAGAGAGAGAGAGAGAGAGAGACTGTGATGGTGGGTATTTTACTGTCTGATACCTCTAACTCTCTCTTGCCTTGTTTCCCAAAGGGTCATCGTCCTCTATGAACACCACGCTGCCTTCAACTAGTGCCTGGTCCCTTGTTGGTGCCTCCAGCTACAATAGTTCCCTCAGCAGTACAGCACAAAGCACTCCAGGTCAGACACAGCCCCAAGTCTCGCCACCAGTGAGAGACTGTGCACTGTTTCATTTCCCATTGGATTGATGCACGCTCATTTTTTTCAAACTCATTTTGAGCACAAATATTGACTTTGGAAAACCTAATTCTAATCTTGTTGTTTTTAATGTAATCTTTTGTTGTGCAGTCCTGTAGCTCAGTGGTTAGAGCACTCGCATCGCAAGCGAAAGGACCTGGGTTCGATTCCCGGGCAGGGCAATACGTGAGGCAAGTTTCCTTACTCCAAACGCCTCTATTTACCTATCAGTAAGAAGGAACCCGGTTGTTAGTTGATTGGCAGATTGCTTTTCCGGGGGTAATAATCCCTTAAAAACAACAAAATTATATAAATATATATATCAATTCACTTTACAGTATATTATTTGTGAAGCGCTTTGAGACATCTCAAATGACATGATAAGGCGCTATATCAAATTATTATTATTATTTTATTATCATGTATTGACTTTCTTTTATTTGTGGTTTCACTTCACAGCCAGAATCGGTGACCCCAAATCCACATGGTCTCCTGGTCCAGTTACCAACACTTCCCTGGCTCACGAGCTGTGGAAAGTCCCGCTGCCTCCGAAAAACACTACAGCTCCGTCCCGCCCGCCCCCGGGGCTCACCAGTCACAAGCCTTCCCACTCCTGGGGGAACAGCTCGCTCCGCCTGGGGGTGGGATGGGGGAACTCCGAGTCCAGATACACCCCCGGTAAGTGCAGCCGCCAGGCTGGCAAAGTGACCCTCACACAGAGAGCCTTAGGAGCAGGTAGCCTGGCATTGCCTGAGAGCACTCCGATACGCTACCCCATATGAGGGTCACTATATGAATGCATGTTTTTAAGAGCATTGCGCATCAGTCTTTTAATGTGGGTGCGTGTGTATGTGTGTGTGCATATCAATCTATTATCTTTCAAAGATTTATTATAAACATCCTCGCATTTGGTCTTATCACGTCGGAAGGACGTCTCAAAGCGCTTCATGGGATTTACTGTGAAATGGAGTGACTGCATATTTGTAGGCAAACGCGGCAGCACAATTATATGATAAATATACATATTTATAAAATACCTTTATGTGGATAAATACGTGGCTTCTAAAGTGAGACCGTTGTCTCCATGTTAACCTGATCGTTTTGTTTGTGTTACCCAGGTCCAAGCTGGGGTGACATCAGCTCAGGGAGAATAACCAACTGGCTTGTTCTCAAAAACCTCACGCCTCAGGTAAGCTCAGCCAGTGGCCACTTACAGTTTATTGGTGGTCACATCAGCCAGGCGAGCTTTCACACTGTGTCTGCCCTTCCCCTTGGAGGTGGGCTGACATCTGCTTCACACCTTGTGTGTGGGGTGGTGGGGTGTGCGTGTGAGATTCAGTCAGTGTTGAGCTTGCTCTCGTTCTCTGTAAGTTCTGACCATGTGGTTTGTCCCTGCAGATTGATGGCTCCACCCTGCGGACACTGTGTATGCAGCACGGCCCGCTGATAACATTCCACCTGAACCTGCCCCATGGAAATGCTTTGGTCTGTTACAGCTCGAAAGAAGAGGCAGCCAAGGCACAGAAATCTCTGCACATGTAAGTCCTCATCGGTGGGGTGGGGGGGGAACTTTCCAGGGCATTGCCAGGTCCCATCTGCTTCCGTAGCATCCAAGGTTGCCCCGGCGTATAGAGTCCTGTAGTTCAGTGGTTAGAGCATTCATCTCGCAAACGAGAGGACCTTGGTTTGATTCCCGGCCGAAACCTTGCGCAAATTTTCTTGCTCCACACGCCTCTGTTTACCTAGCAGTAAGTAGGAACACGGTTTTTAATTGATTGGTGAGTGAATCGCTTTCCGGGGGTAATAATCCCTCAAAAAAAATATCTACGGCTGTTTGTGGGACACCCCTGTGTGCAATTGGCTGCCGTATTTCGCCCACAAAATACACAGTATATTCTGTGAAGCTCATTGGGACGTCTCAATGACCTGATAAGGCGCTACATCAAATACAACGATTATTATCATTATTATTATTACTATGGGTCCGGTTTCTTGCGGGAAGGGGTGTTGAGTTTGCTGGTGATGGAACTACGCTGATCTCTCTCTCTCTCACTGACAGGTGTGTTTTAGGGAACACTACCATTCTTGCCGAGTTTGCCAGTGAAGACGAGATTAATCGCTTCTTTGCACAAGGCCAGTCGCTGACCCCCTCTCCGGGCTGGCAATCCCTGGGATCCGGCCAGAGCCGCATGGGATCCATGGACAGCTCTCACCCCTTCTCCAACCGCAACGATCTCAGTCACTGGAACAGTGCTGGGCTGGCGGGGGGCGGGGGGGAGCTGCACGGCACTTCTCTCTGGGGGACCCCCAATTATTCCACTAGCCTGTGGGGGTCCCCGAGCATCAGCGAGACCCGGGGCATCGGCAGCCCCTCCCCCATCAACGCTTTCCTCCCCGTCGACCACCTTGGTGGTGGAGAATCCATATGAACTTGTATACATACTCGTGACTTAAACTGTGACCTCAAAACGATCTTGAAAAGCAGCACTAAATGGGCTTTTCGTCTGCAGAGAGGGAGGGAAGGAGAGGAAGGAAGGGGTCGCGTGTGGAAATGTTCCGTTCTGCACCTTTATTTCCACTTTGTTTTAGCCCAGGACATATCAGTTTTAATACTTGAATCATGCAGGCCAATATGGAAAGAAAATGTGAAAAAAAAGGTATATATTTATACTTCCAAATAGTGCTATCCATTACAAGAGAGAAACTGCTTAGAATGAGCTAGTTCGTGTGCACTCACTCACCAGGTTTGTTCCTTGAATTCCAAAAGTTTTTTTTTCTCTCTTCGGTATTGTTTGCTGATGATGTTGAGAGTACAGAGCTGTTATCTTTGCACTGAGAACCAACCACTCCCCCTCCGATTGGCAGTAGGAGGGGGGGAGAGATCACGGTTCAAGTGGAAATGTTTACTCAAGGATGCTCTGTTTAAAATCAAAATGGGCTGGGGAGGGAGGGGCGGGAGGGAGAGAGGGAGGGGAAAGTGTGCTCTTTTACTATGCCTTGATGTGTACCGAATTTATTGTGGTATTGTGGAGTAAGATCAAGTTCTCAGACTGACTTACAAGTTATTAAAACCCCCAAGTATTGCACCGACCTGTTGTTCTTACCCAACTTGAAACTAAAGAGTTACCTGCAACGTGACACTGGTCAGTTAAGGTGTGACCTTGCTGGCCCGGCCGGCCAGTCAAAAGGGTACAAAGCACTTTCAATAGAGCTTTTTTTTTCAGTTTCGTTTGAATTTTCTCTCTGGGGGAGGTGCCCAGGTTTGCGTGCGCCCCTCTTGTTTACAGACATTTTGAGGGAAAAAAAATGTTTACTCTTCCATCGTTGATTAAAAAAGAAAAATTCAAAAAAAATAAAGCAAAACACATAAAAAAAGCAAAAAAAAATTCAAAAAGGAAAAAATTGACCGAAAATAAACCCCCAATTATTGAGGATTGAAGATGTTTTCTATCTCTGGGAATATTGAACAGTGTTTAACCATGTTTCTTTTGTTTTCTATTCCTCTATATCCTGAAACAAGAAGAGCATGGTTCTCAGGAAATAGTTCCCCCAAGTAGAAACTTCTGCTAGTTATTGTAGGAAAACTCCCGACTTTTTAGCACTGAAAATAACTTACTGCTCTGTAAAGGTTCCTGATGTTCTTTTCCCCCCTTTTTGCCAAGTTAACTGCTTAAAGCCGCAACTCTACACATTGCTTTTGAAAATCGCTGTCTTTTTATTAGTGAGTGAAGCTGGTTTGCTGACATGCGTAGTGGTATATACATTTATTTTTTCCTTTATATTCCCATTTGAGTGGCTTAAATGTTTATGGCTAATAGTGTGAAACCCACCCCCTCAACCCCACCCCCGCCCGTCCCCATGTCCCAATTGTTGTCCCGTGAAGCTGAGATCTGTTAACTATGCATTTTTGCTGTAACCGGGTCCGTGGTTTACAGAAATCATCGTTCATTATCTGTAAGAAGTTTTAATGTAAAAGTTGTTGTGTATTAAGAGTTTTACAAAGAAGAAGAAAAAAGACGAGTTATTACATTTTTTTTTTGTTTCGTTCTTTGCCATAAAGGGTATTCCTATTTGTATCGCGCGCGCAAGAGAGAGACGCAAACACGGATACCATTTTAACAGTGCAAGCCGCCACCATTTCATTGCCTTCTCTATAACTGTCTGTCCTAAGATGCAAAGCAAAGTCAGTGGCTTTTTTAACTGTTTACAAATAGAATGTGATTGTAAAATGTATAATTTGGTTGTTGAATTATGAAGTTTCTCCAAATATTAATAAAAATCATGATGTTTTTGGCTGCTCAGCATCGAGGTGTCCTCCCTTCTCTGTCTGTTGTACTGTCTCTTGATAATCATATATAATAATAATCCTTGCATTTGATAAAAGTGCCTTATTGTGTCTTTGAGGCGTGTTCAAAGCGCTTCACAGAATAGACTGTGAGGGTGAAACGCGGCAGCCGATTGTACACGCCAGTGTCCCACGGTTGTGGATTGAGCGACCAAATTGTTTTTGAAGAGATTATTATCCCTGGAAAAACGATCCACCAACCGACCAACAGCCAGGTTCCTACTTACTGTTGGGTAAACAGAGTGTAGAGTAAGGAAACTTGCCCAAGGTTTCGCCCTGTTAGGGAATCAAACCCAGGTCTCTCGCTTGCGAGGCGAGTGCTCTAACCACTGAGCTACTGGACTCTCTAGGCTTTGCGGTATTGATTCCTCTGGCCACCTGCTGGCTTCTTGCCCGGCGTCTCTTCCTCCCACAGTAACCGCCCTCCCATTGGGGGAAGGGAAGGGGGTTGGTGGGCAGAGGTCAGGCAGCAGACGGCATCCAGTCCAAAGCCATCCCAGAGGAAATGCGTGGGACAGCTCACTGGAGGTCGAGCCTCGGAGAGAGTGCATCACTCATTGTTTCTGTGCAGCACAAAATAAACATGGAAATAAATCGTGTGGGTGGGTGTGGCGTTTCCACCTCAACCCAAACCTTGGAAAACACTGCAGCCAGGCTGGGGGGGGTGGGAGGGGAGAGGGGGGCAGTCAGCATCTCTCTCTCTCTCCGGGGCTAAGCTGTCCAGTTCCTCTCCATGCTCACCAGCTCCATCCCCTCAAAGTAAGAGCGAGGCCTCCTGGCTTTGAACTGCGACCGAGGGGAAGAAAGAATGGAGAAGTATATAAACTTACAAATTAAACCACTCGCAGGTTTAACAATATAATAATTGTTGCATTGGATTTAGCGCCTCATCACGTCTTCGAGACGTTCCAAATTGACTATTTGTGGGCGAAACGCGGCAGCCAATTGCACACAGCGACGTCCCCACAAACAGTCGTGGATTGAGTGAATTTTTGATGGGATTATTACCCCCGGAAAAGCGATCCACCAATCCACATTGCTGTGAGATTGTTATAATAGCAAGTGCCAGGCACTGAGAGAGACACTAACCGGTGAGTGGAGCTGGAGTTGATAGAGAGCGTGGAGCGGTGCCCAGGGGCCGGGCTCTGGAGGCCAGCTGGAGACAGACAGCGCGCTGGCTTGGCCGGAGTCGCCACGCTCGGTCACGCTCCCGTCACTGAGGTCCAGGACCGTCCGCAGACTGTAAAGGAAGGAGGCGGCGATGAGAGAGGGGCTGGGGGTGACCTGAGGCGAGCGGTGATGTATCGCTGACAGATCTGGAGCGCGTACGCGAGCAAACCCTGCTCCCCGGAACATAGAAACAGGAGGAGGACATTCAGCCCCTTCAGCCTGTTCCACCATTCTATAAAATCGTGGCTGAGCTGTACCTCAACTCCCAATTACCCACCTTTGCCCCGTATCCCTTGATACGTCAACCTGACAAAAAATATTATTATCATCATTTATCCACCTCAGTCTTGAAAATTGGATGGTCCAGCACCACAGACTCTGGGTGGATTGGGGGATTGCTTTCCAGGGTTAATAATCCCTCACAAAAAAAAAGTTCTCTCTCAATCCACGACTGTCCTGTAGCTCAGTGGTTAGAGCACTCGCTTTGCAAGCGAGAGACCTGAGTTCAATTCCAGGCAGGGCGAAACCTTGGGCAAGTTTCCTTACTCCACACAGAGCCTAATAATAATCCCTCCAAAAACCAAAAAACAATAATAAATTGGTCATTTTCAATCTACGACTGTTTGTGGGACATTGCTGTGCGCAATTGGCTGCCGCGTTCGCCCACAAATATACAGTCAATTCACTTTACAGTATATTCTGTGAAGCGCTTTGGGACGTCTTCCCGACGTGAAAAGCGCTATATCAAATGCAAGGATTATTATTATTATTATTATTACCTCAACTCCCAATTACCCACCTTTGCCCCGTATCCCTTGATACGTCAACCTGACAAAAAGTATTATTATCATCATTTATCCACCTCAGTCTTGAAAATTGGATGGTCCAGCACCACAGACTCTGGGTGGATTGGGGGGATTGCTTTCCAGGGTTAATAATCCCTCACAAAAAAAAAGTTCTCTCTCAATCCACGACTGTCTGAGACACAGCAGTGCGCAATTGGCTGTCACGTTTTGCCCAGAAAATGCAATCAATCCACTTTACAATAACTATGTGAAACTCTTTGAGACGTTTCAACGACGTGATAAGGCGCTGTATCAAATGCAAGGATTATTACTAATATTATGTGGATATCATCCTGGCTTCTCTCTCTGGGCAGGAGGGCGGGGGGGTGGGGAGAAGGGGCTCCTCTGAGGTTATCGGTTCCATTAGTTTAGTGTTCCCTGGGCGGGGGTTGAACCGCGACAGTGATTAAAGGATTAAACAGGAAAGTTTCCAGGTCAACATAACAGCTCCCGGGGGATCACAGACTGCAGTGGATGGGGGAGGGTGGGGGGCTCGCAGGAAGCTGGAAAATAGTCCTGCCCATAACTGTCACCCAGCGTGTGGGTGGAGGGGATGAGATAATGATAATAATTCACACACTTGAGCCAAAAATATCAAGCTGTTTCTTTACAGTGAATCAGCCTGGCCCATAGCAAACATAGGAACATAGCAAACATAGGAACATAGCAAACATAGGAACATAGCAAACAGGAACATAGCAAACATAGGAACAGGAGTGGGTCATTCAGCCCCTCAAAGTAATGTTCAACCATTCTATAAGATCATGGCTGATCTGCACCTCAACTCCAATTACCCGCCCAGATTAGTGCTGTGCTGACACATATCTATCCACCTGAGTCTTGACACTTCAGTCCAGCCATAATCCACTGCCTTTTGGGGCAGAGAGAGAGAGAGAGAGAGAGTTCCAGATTCCCACTCCCCTTTGGGTGAAAAACTGTCCCTGATTTCAGTCTTAAATGGCCTGGGTCTAATTTTAAGATGATGTTTCTTGTTCAGTATTCACCCATCAGAGGCAATAGTTTCTTGAATCCCTTTATCATTTTAAACACCTCAAACAGATCAGCCCCTTTAACCTGCAGCAGTGGTAGCCTCTCGCCTCTGAGTCAGAAGATCTGGGTTTGAGGTCCACATCGGAACTTGGAATCAAAAAGTCTAAGCTGACTCTCCACTACAGAGCCGGGGGGGGGGGGGGGGGGTTATATTGTCAGAAATGACGAACTATGGAGTAGATATTAAACCGAGGTCCCCGTCTGCCTGATCAGGTGGACGCTAAAGATCCCATTTGAAAGGAGAAGTGAGTTTCCCTCTCCTGGTGTCCTGGCCAACCATTCCCCCAATTAAAATTGGTCACTCCCTCCATAACTGTTTGTGGGACACTGCTGTGCGTAATTGGCTGTTGTGTTTCACCCACACAATATACAGTCACTACACTTTACAGTATACTCTGTCAAGTGCTTTGAGACAATATTATTAATAGCTGTCAGATTTGGCGAGTGTGGATGTGTAGACAGACATGGAAGACAATAACCCCCCTCCCTGCCAGCTCCAAGCTGTGTGAGATGTTGGTACCTGTGTCTGTGGGGGGGTGGAGGCCACTGGAGAAGGGGTCGAGGCCGCTGTAGTAGCTGCTGTCCAGCATGTGCAGGTGCAAAAACTCGTCCGAGCGGCTGAACACGGGATTGTCCAGGGAGCTGGTGGAGTTCAGCCAAGAGCGTGACCAGTCATGGACCGAGAGGTCATCAAAACGGCTGAAACGTCTGTAACTGCGAAGAAGATAAGAGGGTTAATGGGCAACTCCCCCACCCCTCCCCACCCCCCACCACTTGCTCTGACACCCCCTCCTCTCCCCTCACACTGTCCCCAGGGTTACAAGCGTCCGGGGGGAACCGAATCCCCAGTGCTAGAGGTAAAAGGTCAGTGTGTTGACCCCGACCGCCCCCCCCCACCACCACCACTCCACATGTACACGCATGTTGATGGTCAGTGACGGAACATCACGGGCTGAGGGTCATGTCTCACCTGCTCTGGGTCTGGTCTGTCCTGGCTTCCGTCAACAGGTTCTTAACCCTCCTGAGAGCAGCGATGGTTCCGGCTCCCAGCAGCACAGCCACCGCCAGGACAACCCCACACACTATCCCTGTCAGGCTTTGCTGTGTCATTCGGTGGTCACACCTCGAGCCCATATACCAGTAATCACTGCCCACAGGACACCTGTAACACAACCACAGCAGCTTATACCATCCCCTACACACACCTCACCCCAACCCCTACATGCACCTCACCCCAACCCCTACACGCACCTCACCCCAACCCCTACACGCACCTCACCCCAAACCCTACACACTTCACCCCCCCTACACGCACCTACCAAACCTACACACTCCTCACCCAACCCCTACACGCACCTCACCCCAAACCTTATACACTCCTCACCCCAACCCCTACACGCACCTCACCCCAAACCCTACACACATCTCACCCCAACACACATCTCACCCCAACCCCAACCCCTACACACACCCCAACCCCAACCCTGACACACAGCTCACCCCAACCCCAAACCCTACACACACCTCGCCCCAACCCCAACACACACCTCACCCCAACCTCAACCCCTACACACACCTCACCCCAACCCCAACACACACCTCACCCCAACCCCAACTCCTACACACACCTCACTCACAGTCTCTCTGCATCTGTCAGTCACTGTGTTTCTCTGTTTCTCCCTCAGCCTCTGTTCCTCTCTCTCTCTTCCTCTATTTTTCTCTCAGTCTCTCTTAGTCTCGCTTTCTCAGTCTCTCTCCCACTGTTTCTCTCTCAGTCTCCAACTCTCAGTCTCTCTCTCTTAGTCTCACTGTTGCTCAGTCTCTCTATCAGTCTCTGTGCGGGGAAATGTGGCAGTTACTGACCGGCACAGTGGCAGCTGTTGGTGGCTGTGAGAGCAGATGCCACTGTTCTTACAGTAAAGTTGGTGACACAGCGACGTACAGGTCACATTCCCGGCCTCGGTGTGAACACAGCTGAACCCGGGCGGGCAGGAGAACAGTGTCCCACACAGGTCCAGCCCCCGCTCTGCCAAGAACCAGCAAACCATCAACACAGGCTTAGGTTCATAATCATAATCCTAATCATAATAATAATGATCCTTGCATTTGAGAAACGCTCTGGGACGCTACCCTGCATGAGAGGCGCTCTATAAATGCAAGTTGTTGTTATTGATACAGCGCCTTATCACATCGTTCACACGTCACAAAGCGCTTCACAGAATATACTGTAAAGTGTAGTGACTGTATTTTGTGGGTGAAACGCGGCAGCCAATTGTGCACAGCGGTGTCCCACACACGACTGTGGAGTGAGGGACCAGTTTTATTTGGGGGATTGTTGCCCAGGAAACTGGGAGAGAGAGAAACTCCCTTCTCTTTTCCAATAGCGCCGTGGATTGAGTGACCAAATTATTATTTTTTTAAGGGATTATTACCCCCGGAAAAGCGATCCGTTAATCAACTAACAACCATGTTCCTACTTACTGCTGGTAAACAGAGGCGTGTGGAGTAAGGAAACTTTCCCAAAGTTTCACGATGCCCGGGAATCGAACTCAGGTCCTCTCGCTTTGCGAGGCGAATGCTCTAACTACTGAGTTACAGGAGTCCACACATACCATCCGGAGCAGATAATAATCAAAGCGTCTGAAAGGGCAGCGAGCGGAAAGTACCTGGGATGTAGACACGCAGCACACGGACCCCGGCCAGGCTCAGCCCCCTCCTCACCGCTCTCCGCAGCCCCGTCACCTCCAGCAGCCTTCCCGCGTCTGACAGCAGCGCTCCCAGCCCCCAACCCCAGAACACTGCCGAGTACTCAATCACCACACTGCCCCTCCTGCCACAGAGACACATAGACTGAAAGACTCAGAGAGAGAGAGAGACTGAGAGAGACAGAGAGATTGAGAGTGACAGCAAGAGAGAAACAGAGAGACTGAGAGTGAGAGAGAAAC